GTTATGAGTTGGGTGGACTCGACCTGGACGGCACATAACAACAAGTTAAGAGGATAGTATTGAGTCGCTGACAGCCTGAGCAGGGCGTGGCCTTAAAATTCACTTAGTTACAACACCCTGTGTTTCAAATGGGGAAATTGAACTCAGAAAGAGGAAGAGTCTTTTTTAAATACAGAAAGAAAGAAAGTGAGGAAGAGGGAAATAAAATAGAAGGATAAGGGGAAAAAATTAAAGATCTTCCATAATTCCACCACCTGGAGCAAAACACTGTTAACATGTTGAGATATGTGCCGAAGGCATTTGACCAGAAGGCTGGCAGTTCAAACCCACCAGCCACTCCTCGGAAGGGAAGGTTGGGCAATCTACTTCCATGGTGATACAACTTCGGAAACCCAAGGAGGGGTCAGTATGAGTCGGGTTGACTCAACGGCATATAACAACAACATATGTCCATAGATATATATGTCTGTCTATCTATTTCCTTCCAAATGTTTTTCCTATGTATAAAACAAAAAACCAAACCCACTGCCATGGGGTCAGTTCTGACTCACAGGGACCCCCATTGGGTTTCCAGGGGTATAAATTGTTATGGAAGTAGACTGCCTCATTTTCTTCTCAAAGAGCAGTTGGTGGGTTTGAACTGCACACCTTCTGGTTAGCAGCCAAATGCCTTACCCACTAATCCACCAGAGCTCCTTTTTCCTATGTACATACACATGTAAATTTTTAAATGAGATCAAACTAAACCTACTGTTTGGTATATTGGACAAGTAAACAGATGAAACTTTTTAAATATTCAACAGATGGAAGCATTAAAAAAAAAAAACCTCAAGTTGGGATAAAGTACTGGTTTTCAAATGTTAGATCTAAAAGAATCGCCTGGGGGGTTTTAAGGACACACAGATTGCTGGGTGTCATCCCCCAGAGATTCTGAAACAGCACGTATGGGGTAGTCCTAAGAAGCTGAGCTGGGGCCTGGCAGTTGTATTTTTTTCAAAACTCCCCAAGACAATATTCATGGACCAAGAATTTATCTCTACAGCGGCTACCAGCTTTACAATTCTAGGATTCTATAAGTAAATGTTCATTTGTTTAAAATGATAAGGAAACAAAGTGTCCCAATTAATCAAACATCTACTTTAATAAATTGCTGCCCTTTACAACAACTTTTGCAGGAATAATCAATTAAAAGAAAAAAGGACACCATGAAATATGATTAGAGCAGCCTTTTAGACTAACTCCTTCCCATCACGATCTCCCTCCTACACACCCCATCCCTGACACTGGACAAAGACAAATTCTGGTAACCTACTATGTGAGTTCCCTTTCCCAAGCAAACCCTTCTTTGTCTTTTTACAGTAATGGGCTCATACAGTACTTGTCCTTCTGCGATTGACTTATTTCACTCAGCATAATGTCCTCCAGGTTCATCCACATTGCGAGATGATTCGTGTATACGTCATAGTTCTTTAATGTGGCATAGTATTC